GCCCAATGCCCTGGAGCTTGTTCGAGCTGTTTGGGCATTGTTGAAGAGGCACACACCTGTAGGATCTTTGGTCAGGTTCATCGATCGCCTGTACAACCTCCAAGCCGCATCTTCCATCCGTCTACGTGCTCGGCTCAAACAACTAGGCTTCGACATTGCACCTTCTACCTCTTCCTCCTCCTCCTCCTCTTCAGCTTGGAGAAGGAAGAGTCCCATGTGGGAAAAGGTGCATGTGGGATCTGCGAATGGGAATGACGGATCGAGGGAACAGAGGACCTTGTTGAATGGACCTTTGCACATTTGGCCTGCTTGGACTTTGACCGGTTGGCAGGGAGCATCCAGCGGTCCGTTTCTCTTTCCCAACAATCGGCCAAGGGAAGAGGAAAGGAATACGAATTTGAAAGCGATGAGGTTCAGAAAGAAGAGCTACTCGGACAGGCTCATCCACAGCTTCAAGGAGCGATTCGGAATCGCGGACGAGGGAGATGTGAGGAGAGGCACATGGACGCTCACTTGGAGATTTGGCAGGCCCATTGACCGAAAGGCAAGGGAGGCGTTGGAGCAGAGAGACAAGGCGATGATGTTGTTGGAGTATGCGGCGGGATTTAGATCGGCCAATTCCACCGCTGAGCAATCCATCGACTGGCAAGCGATGCGACACGAGACCTCTTCGCCTTTCAGCGTGCTCCAGCAGCATTTCCTCGGCAATGCGACAACAGTCAAAGGCGAGGAATTGACATTGGTGGACGCTAGAGCTCGCTCCGATGCGCTCTTTGTGCTGGGTCAAGTATCCAACTATGGGCTGTACGGTCTATCCGAGCAGACCGATCGAGCATACGTCTCTTTCAAGAAGCTAGTTGACCTGCCCGACGTGTGGGCTTCAGACGTGTCCGACTCGACCAGCCAGGCTGAAAAGAACGCCGCGGTGGAATTTGGATCAGCGCCAGTATCTGGACCAGGACGAGGAAATGCGACGGCGAGCGCGCTGTTGGCAGACATTGTAGGGGGCGCTTGGAGCGCTAGTGGGATTGCTTTGCAAGCGCATGGCGTAGAAACGCAAAAGGTGCAGCAGGACAAGGTGAGTTCTGCAAAGTGTTGTAGCGTGTGCCTCGAAGCGTCATCATCGCACGTCACCGACAACACGCGGCGACGCGATGATGTCGCATCAACTTTTTTTTGACCGCTTGCGCTCAGCCCCGTCCTGACCCTTGCTTTCGATTGCGAATTGCACGCTTCCAGGCGCTCTTGCACTACCATACGGCTGCGCGCGCCGGCGATTTTGCCGCCCAAACTACGTTGGGATATCGATATCATGCGGGCATCGGAGTGCCCAACGACTGTGCTGAGAGCTTGAGGTGGTACGAAAAGGCTGCTGAGCAAGGTGAGCACTGACACGAGCAGCAAGACGGGACTTGTCGCTCATCACCTGAGGGGAGGAAAGAGTCTCGAAGATGTTGAGGCTGACGCGCGACACCTGAAATTGCATTGCTTGCGCTGCTGTGCTCTTGTGTTCCACAGCCTACCAACACTTCTTGACCGGACCTCCTGGCGGATTGGGACTGCCTATAGCAAAGACGCGTCTTTCGGACTTGGATGGTGGAGCGTACGGACCGGGGGCGTCTGCTGCATCTACGGGTCTAGCGGCGCGTCGACCGGCCATGGCGGCCATATTGCACTCCCTGCCCTCTTCCGATCCCAATCGCATTGGAGATCTGCTAGAGTACTACACACACCACGCCTTTCGAGGACACACGTTTTACGCGCTCAAATTGGCGCACATTTGGTACGCTGGAACGGTGTACGCCTCGTTGGGAGGTGCAGGTGCGGCGGCGTCGATGCAGGGAGCAGAAGGAGCGGGAAGAGTGAGCAGGGATTATGCAAAGGCTAGAATGTGGGCTTTGAGGGTCACGCAGGATGTGTGGCCGGTCGATTCTAGAGTAGTCAAGAGAGGAGGTCCGGCGGGCTATGTGGCTAGCAGAGGTCAGAAGGGAGAAGATGTCAGATTGAAACACGACGATGTCAGATTGGCGCAGGCGGCTAGTGCGGCGGCTATGATGGGAAAGATGTTCCTCAGAGCAGAAGGCACTTCACAAGACTTTCATCGCGCATGGGTCTGGTTCCGCAGAGCGACGGATCTGGTGAGTGTCGCGCATTTTCTGTTCTCGATCTTTCGGATGTTTGCATGTGGCATGAAAACTTATTCGGACATGTGTGTCGCGCTCCCCCTCCGACCACGCAGGGAGATGTGGAAGGCTACAACGGACTGGGCGTCATGTATCGCGATGGACTTGGTATGCCTCGCGATGTGAAGAAGGCGGTGGAATACTTTGAAGCAGCTAGCAATATGGGAGTTGCAAGCTCGCAAGAGGGCTGCGTGAATTTGGCGCAGATCCACCTTGGTGAGCAGCGATGCGGTGTAGCGCAGATCTGAGCAAGAGGCACGTTTGCGGGTTTGAGCTGACCGAGTCTTTGACTCTGTGACGCACCGCTTGTTTTGCGTGAATGCAGCGATGGGAGATCTGGCTGCTGCTGCCAAATTCTTGGAAGCGGCCATGCGTCTGGGCAATCCGTTTCAGGCTTATCACCTCCTAGCGA